CACACCTGCCCCTGGAGAGGTCACTCCAGTAAATAAACACGGCGAGGGGCAGTTTACCGGTCGAAAAAAACCCCGTTAGATGGACGTTGGAGCGGGGTACCTGGGGCTTCCTCTCGACGGTGAGAGAAATCTTCGCACTTCATTGGACAGCTACCGCCTGCCCAAGCTGAGCAGCCCCCAACCATTAAGGTGCTGTTCCGCTTCATTAGATGCATAAGACTAAGGGCCAATCCCGAACAGCCTACTGACAATCAACGCACCGGCGAAAAAAAACAATGAACTAAAACCCGAAGGCCTTGCGTGACGCGAATTCATGACACATTAAAAATATTCCCTTTTAACTGCTTCTTCTGTCTTGACGCCGTCTGGCCCAATGGGCTGAACACTTCGAGGCTCAGTTCANAACTGGCCCCCATCGATATCTGATCTGTCACCCTCCACCTTGACTGGGCAAATACTGCCAGTTGATGCTAGTCCTCGAGAAATAAGTTATCTTAAACGACATCAGGCTTCCGGCCCCGACGGCCTGTCCCTATCGGTTTTTAAATATGGAGGTTCAGGCTTGGTTTTAGAGTTAACAAAACTCCTGGGCTCAATGTGGGAGAGAGAAGAGGTTCCAGTTGAATGGTGTGAATTGATGATCATACCGATTTAGAAGAAAGGTGACATCCTCCTGTGAAAACTACAGAGGAATTAGTTTGATCAACATCATCCCTAAACTTCTCGTGGGCATCATACTCCGTCGATTGTCTGCCGCACATGAGTGCACGCGTGAGAACCAGAATGGTTTTAGACCCGGTCGAGGTTGTGTCGACCACATATTCACTCTCCGGCAAATTCTGGAGCATCGACATTCTTTTTGTAGACCCACCACCTCTGTCTTCCTGGATCTGAAGGCGGCTTTCGACTCGGTCTACCGCTCTAAACTCTGACGCTGCCTTTCCCTGAAGGGTATGCCCGCGACATCCGGTTGTCTGTGAAGGGTCGAGTTTATGCCGCAGCAGTTCTGCTATACGGCGAAGAAACTTGGCCAGTAAGAAAACAGGACAAAGATAGACTATCGGTGTTTGAACACCGCTGTCTACGCAGCCTTGCATGAATCTGGCGGAGCAGTCGGGCGAACAATGCTGAGGTTAGACGCAGAGTTTTGGGTAACCGCGGTCGCCCACTGGAGCAAGTGGTCGACCTCCATAGATTACGTTGATTGGGCCGTGTTACGTACATAACCAACTAGGTTGCCACGGCGAGCGATGTTCGCCGAGGCTGGTCGTGAGTGGTCAATCTAAGACCTGGCTTGAGGGTATGAAAACCCTAACCAGAGACTGTCACATGAGTCTTGTTAAGATTGGGGACCTGGGGATGATCGTAACCGACGGTTAGAGACACTGAGTGGTATGTCTGAGTATCTTAAACCGTGGCGTTCGTGCAGCTCAATTTCTTTGCAACATTAGTCCACTGAAATTATTCATTTTCTATTCAGCTCTACTTTCTTGGCCTTCTCCGATTGCTCATCCAAATGTGCTGCCAAAAGGCAGCAACCGAAACCGGCGCACAAAAGTACATGGTTAATTAGTGGTTCAAACTGA